ATAAGTTTTGCACCGTTTCTTTCAACTCTACGTGTAGCATCTCTTTCCAATCGGCTGCGGATGTACGCGTTACACAAAACACAAGACTGGAGCCTTTCTGCGCTGCTTACATAGTTTTTTTTTATAATATCTAGTGATGGACGAACAAGTCGTGCGCCTGATGGTAAGGTACACGCCTGTCCATAACAGTTACAGTGCCACTCAGAGCCTTAAATTGCAAAGATCTGAGGGGCGCTACCACTACGCCCGTCACCCCGAGACATAAGTTGACAAGTCCATAATAGGACTTAATAATATTAAGATTATCATTTCCTAAGTTTAAAACTTACATTAAAAATATTTTAATTGAAAAGTCATATTACAAAATTGAAGAGTACATTTTAGATAAAGATGTATGGAAAGACAACAAGAGTCTAGATTCCACACAAATATGATTCAAAATGTATTCTATATAGCATTTAAGTTTATTTGAAAAGAGCAATCCCTAGAGTTTCTTGCTCGTTCTTCTCAGGGAGGTCAGCGTAGTGAACGAGCAGTAGCTTAAAAAATGACATTTTCAAGTGTAAAACTTTTACCTATGGAATAAAGGATTATTTGACATTGACTTTGAAACCGGAACGGAGATAATATTACCGCTTGGCGGCAGAGAATACAACTATTTTGCTAGAACAAATGTTTGACGTATTTACTACTAAATAAACTTACAAAAAATATATGACACGCCTAAGAATATTGTCTGTTTGTTACACGATAGGGTGTACTTTACCCGATTATATAAAATCTCGAAAATAAAAGTCTAAAATGAATTATTTAAGAATGAATATCTAACTTTGAACTTAATTTTCGTATGGAGATATTTCTCTATGAGTATTATAAAGAACCTGCTAAATTTTTGTTTTCAACTTCACGCCTGATGTTATTAAATTCACATTTATTCCAAACTTGAATATTGGCCAGCGGTTTGACGGCACCCCGCGCCGCCCCCGCCCCGGCGGCACCCGTCAGTCGCCATCGGGCGGTTCTCAACGTCGGGTCTGTGTCAAATTTTCTCCGCCAGTTGTAGCGTTCGGGGAAAAGATAAAATATTAAAATGGGTAATAAAAAAAATCAAATTAGGAAGAAATCGATATCAATATCTAAAAAAAGGACAGGAAAAGAGAACTACAAGAAGCGGTAAGTAAATAATTACTGATTTCGTTATTACTAACGACAGACTACATTATATCAAGTATGATCAAAAGTAAGCCTTCGTAGGTAGGTTTAGTAGCAGAAGAGCTCCTTGAGTAAGTGTTCATCCAGGGAAGTACTGCCACCTTACCTATTTCTGCGGCCAAGCAGTAATGTCAGCATTATTGCGTTCCGGTTTTGAAGGGTCTTGTCTATGTCTCAGGTTGTCGGGCGCAGTTGCAGTGCCCCTAAGATCTTTGCGATACAAAGCTCTGAGTGACACTGCAACTTTTAGGGACAGGCGTGATACTTACCACCAGGCACGCGACTTGTTAGTTCCATCACTTATTATAAAAAAAAAGAATCCGGGCTCGGGAACCTTTAAGTTTCTCTGAATTTATGTGCGCAATTTAATTTGAAATTTACCACACGCCCAGTTTTGAGCGGGACAGTCCCGCTTTTAACCAAAATACTTAAAAATGTCGCTTAACTAAACAGGACACGTGGAATAATAATGAAAAGTTATATGTTACAAAATTAAAGAGTATGTGTTAGATAAAGATGTATGGAAAGACAACATGAGTCTAAATTCCACACAATTGTAATTCAAAGTGTATTCCATAGCATTTAAGTTTATTTGAAAAGAGCAAACCCTAAGAGATTCTTGCTCGTTTTTCTCAGGGAAGTCGGCACAGTGAACGAGCACTAGCTTATAAAATGACGCTTTTTTAGTGTAAATACATTAAGCCAGCATACCAGACTACACAAGAAATAATTTCTTTTTTTAAATTTTGAATCATTTAACATTGTTATTAGTTATTTTTTTAATCATTACACATTTCGTAACTACCATAAATAAGTGTATTATTTTTAAAACAATTATAAATTTACAGGCGTCCCGCTCTAAGGGAAATGAATAATGGCCACGTTAGGAATGAATCCGGTGTATTGTATTTCTTCCCGTTAACCTATTTCAATAAAACTAAGCAAATAAGGGTAACTCCACAAACTTTCGTGATCGTTTTTTTTATGGAAAGTTATAATATTATATTATTTATATTCATAACCTAACAAAAATCATATTACATGCACAATTAAAGTTGATCATAGTTGCATTGCTCAAATATTTTATACTGCGGCGCGACGCTAACGTCACGGCGAAAATAAGGGGCGCGCAGATGCGGGGCGGGAGGATTGAGAGACGCGGGCGGTCCCCCACACCTTACCTCCTAATATCTACGCTCACGTTCGAATACCTCACCTGGCATTACTTTGCGGAAATGGCTAACCCCATACATATTTTTGTTGACATAAATTTGTCGCGTCTATTTATGAAATTCTATTAGCAGTAGAAGCTCCTTGCGAAAGAGCTCGTCCAGGGAAGTACTGCCATCTTACCTACTTCTGCCGCCAAGCAGTTATTACTGCGTCTCGTGGATCTATAGGCACGTGGGACTTGTCAACTTATGTCTCTCAGGGTGACGGGCGCAATGGCAGTACCACTCAGATCTTTGCGATTTAAAGCTCTGAGTGGCACTGCAACTGTTATGGACAGGCGTGTAGCTTACCATCAGGCGTGCGGCTTGGTCGTCCCGTCTCTTGATATTATAAAAAAATAAATAAAAATACGTGAAAATATAGGGTATTCAGAGAAGTCTAAAATAAAAATATTTCATTTTGGAGTTTTGGAGGTTATATTTTGCATAATTGAATAAAATATACAAAAACTTAAACAGAGTTAATAGAAGCTGAATGGTGTTATGGGTTTGTGACGCGACGAAAGTTCAGAGGAAATTTTTATAGGGTCAAAAGGCATGAAGTTAAGCCAAAAAAAAATTGAATTAAAACGTACCATATCTTGTTATAACTCAGGGCACAAATATATTTTTGTGAAAAACGCTACAGATTCGCTCTGGACCTTTTGGAGGGAAAAGTGTCGTTTTTATTTTGACTTTCAATTATTTTGTGAAATGTAGTTTAAAGTGGAATAGGATAGTGCTATTGTGCCTTAATCGAAGATTAAAACGCGAAATTAGACGAATCTCGAACTAAAATACCCGTATCGGCCCGTTTTAAGGAATCCCGAGTCAATCCAAGCACGCCGCCTCAAATTGCCTATCCTCTTTGTGGCGGCCATATTTACAGAAACATAATTAAACTTCATGTTTAGGCTGATGGCTTTGCCAAAGCCTTAATAAATAAAAAAAAATATTCAAAACGCTATCCATCCCTGATACCGGGAACTTTTTGTCAGTTTTACCACTTACACGCGTGGCATATTTCCAGAAGGGATTATCTGCATTATTTTTTGTAATAAAGTAGATAATCAGTTATTGTAAATCGGTCGAATCAGTACATTTGATATTACGTGAAGTAACTTAATGTGGACCTATCTATATTGAGGTAGGGTAAGGGTGACCGGATTCCATTCCGGATCGTTACTCGGTGATGCATATTCATGACTTTGCCAACAGCCTCAGCGGAGCCACTGTTTTCAGCACCCTTGACCTGGTAAAGGCTTACCATCAAATTCCCGCGGCAGAAGAGGACATTCCCAAGATGGCTATTACCACTCCCTTTGGAAACGTAGTGACATGTAAAGGAATATGAAAAAGCTAAAACGTTGAATTTAAATTGTAATGCCATCGCAGTACTGTCTAATTTTGCTTGCTTCGCTGTCAGTCGAACAAACGAAGACTAAAGCGTGAATGACGCTCTGTATACGATTTTAACGCCCTATAAGTTCGGACACTTTTTAGCGCGGACCCGACGTCCATATAATTGTAAGTCAATGGTTCAAACGATAATTTTATTATGAGTGGTACAATTGTAATCAAATTGTATTTTAGTTTTTTATGAATTCACCGTATTAAAAAAAAAAGTAATAGTACTCGAGGTTGTTCTGTGTAGTTGTAACAATAAAAGGATCCCTACAAACCTTTTTCTAATGATCGTTTTTTAAAGATTAGAAAAAAACGTAAACAAAAAAGCAGTGGTAGTAAACTTTTTCTCAAGTCAACAAATTTACAGTCAAGGAAAACATTGCCCGAATTCATGACAAATGACATTAAAAAATTACATCTGCCTCCGTGGACGAACGGTGAACATGCTGATCTGCCACTCAAGTTCCGGGTTCGATTCCCGGGCCGGGAGAAGTCTTTGTATGGCCGACGTTTATTTCTCTCGTGAGTTTGGATGTAATTTGTGGTTGTCTATGTGTATGTCCATGGCACCCGCGACACAGGGTTTCCCTAGTGCGGGGCTACGAGTGTGTGCGTTACTTATTACTAAACTGTTTTTGTCTAGATATGGTGTTGTTTATAATAATAATAACAGTTTATTTCTTTAACTGTTTACATTTTGCAATCGTAGTATCAGACGTCTCCTTTTAAGCATAGATTGCTGCCTGTGATAGGAGACTTCGCTCTTCCATAACTATAGCTTTCTAATGTATAAACTTATAATATTTAAAATATTTAAACATTTCAAAACTTAAATTAATTTCAACATTGGTGTTTAACTAAGATAATAGTAGATTGTGCAACAAGTTCATAAACGCGTCATTTTACCCCAGACGAGTATCTCGCCTGCGGCTCGGGTGGATACTTAAGTCGAGGTAAAATGGGTTTTATGAACGAGTTATACAGTCTGCTTTTCACTTCGATTGCGTGGAAATTAAACAGCAATGTTACAAATAAACGATTATTTAATTAAAATTGAATGTAAAATTACAACGATTAGTTTATAAAGTTCTAGTGTGCGTGGCTGTTGGCGCAGGCGTCATTGCCTATTTTCTTTATTTCTTTCTTAATATTATTCCTTATTGTTCCAGCGCTAAAAAGCATCTTCAATCCAATCAAGTATTAACAGTGGAATTCGAAGCCAATAAACTTCCTTCATTGGAAAATATTAAGACTGAAGTTGGGGATGATCCCTTGTGTACTCCTGCGACTATCGCAAACGCCACTTTAATTAGTAATTTTGGGGCTTCGACTAGTGGAATTGGAGCTTCAATTAGCGGATTTGGAGCTTCGACTAGCGGAATCGGAGCTTCACCTAGCAGAATCGGAAATTCAACTAGCGGAATTGGAGCTTCAACAAGCGGAATTGGAACTTGGACTAGCGGATTTGGAGCTTCGGCTAACGACATGGAGGCTTCTACAAGTGGAATTAATGCTTCGACTAGCGAAATGGAGACTCCGACTAACGGCATTGGAAAATCGATTAGCGAAATGGACATTCCGAGTCGTGGAATTGATGCTTCGACTAACGAAATAGGGGCTTTGATTAGCGGAACCGAGGCTTCGGCTAGTTCAATACACGAGGAGGTAAATGCAGTATTTTGATTTCATTCATTTACGTAATTAATATACAGTCCTGAGGATTGCTTTAAATTGTTGTTCTCAGTGTGGAATGAATTTTAGTTAGAAGACTCCTCCTTTCCCAGTGATCACTCCTATACAAATCATATATCTCATATTATTAAAAAGGATGGACGTAGATGGTAGAGTGAAATACGTTGATTTAACGAGACATGTTTATTGTTCGGTCTCCAGAATATAAGTGAGTAAATAATACAATATAAAATAAAATGTAAACTTAAATGCTAACCAAGCAATACGCACCACATGTTGCAGTTAGACTATAAATATAGTCTATCTATACTACAGCGACGTTAGAGCACAAAACATACCTTTTGCTCGTCGTTTTTCGTAAGGAGGTTGTAATCTACGTGACTTGTGATTATGAGTGTGTGCACGTTACGTAAAAAGTGCGTTTCGGTGATTAACTTGCTAAATATAACTGCCCCCGTAGTATGTCGCCTCGATAAAGCTGTTAAATCTACATTTAGATGTCAAATTCGAGTGATAAACTTTTAAAATTTTATCACAATAGCGAACATGGCGAGCACCGTGACGTCACATTTTTATGTCATCAGGAGCGCCGGCGACCAATGACTGCAAAAGATTAACACAGTGCCCACATGGCTGCAAGGTCACAGTTGATTTCAAAACATTTGCACAGTCATTTTATCAACGTAAAAATTGGGCGCGACAAACGAAATGAAAAGACATTTTCTGTTTCATGGTTTTCGCGGCGACAAAGATAGCAATATGCGCAATTTCGTATCGTCGTCCTTGTTCTTCATAATGTATAACATAGTTCATTATCAAATAAACAAACTTAGATTTATCTTTTGAATTAAATATTGTCATGTCACGGGGAGATTTATCACACATATTCAGCCATGCTACGGGTACTGATTTATGATTGAGAATAACTAGTGTATAAAGTTGATTTTGCTAAGTAGTTCCAGTTTAATTTAGCTTTTATTAATTGTCACTTCTGTATCCTAAATATATATTTTTTATACGTGTACTTGGTGATAAGCCACATGCCTATCCGTAACTGTTTTGGCTACCACTCAAAGCTTTAAACCGAGACAAGACCTAACAACCGGCAACCTAGTCACCCAGAGACATAACAAGTCCAATATGCCTGTAATTTCACCAACACCCTTATCCTTCATAACTGGAACACAGTAATGTTTACATTACTGTTTGGCGGTAGGAATAAGTATTGTTAACCCTTATAAGTCCCCTGTTATGTACGACTTTAGCGGTGCGCGACTTTGAATGTCACTAATACTAATCATTCGAGTGGGCAAATCATTCGCCTAATTCGAATCCAAGCACAATCATTCGGCTCGAGTCGAATGATTACCGGATATATTAGATATCGAATAACTCTGAACCATTCACCATGGCCATATCAATATATCCCTGTCTCCGTCACATTTACGTATTTACCATATGCCTGAGAGGGCTAGGTAGAAATGCTGTATGGAATATCGATTAGTAATGACTAAAGAGTTGACTATCAAAATCATTCGCAGTCGCGTATCGCTATGGGTCTTGCCTGAGGTAAGAAATTTGGCCACTCTGGCCCAGAGTTCTTTAATAGTATTGTAGATCACCTTTGACAGCTTTTTTCTTTGACAGTATGATATAATAATTAAAGAAGAACCAGAAGTATCAGAAGAAATCGAGGAGCCTGCGCCTGTGGAGTCTGCGCCTCTGGAACTTTACGTGGGTCGAAGGGTAGTCGCCATTACATATTTCCTGGCGCAGTTAAAGAAGATCTCAAGCCATAGTCCTTCCTGTGGCTTTGGTAGGTTTTTCTGTATATTGTATTCGGCTATTATATCCGAGTTTCTTCTATGTGTTGTTAGGCTTATGGCTTTTCCCTTTAGGCTCAATTTATATTGCGGCCTTCGCGCCACTTCGCCACTTGAATACGCGAGCATGCACAAGAATTCCGCAGAAGACGCGTGACGTGATTTTTGGCTCGTATCTAGTACGTTGACCATAAAGTCCATTATGCTATGTAAAATATCGTTTCAAAAATTCGCTATTATTCCGTTTCACCGCAATATAAACAGCCTTACGGACGGATGAAAATTGCTTGAGCTTTGTTAACTTCCGAGGAAGTTGTTTTGCATTCTAGCCGAATTTCTTTTTTTAGTAATTAGATCAAGTTTCGGACACCTGATTTATTTTCTACTACTTTTTTGTCTGCTATGTAAAACAATTGCTGACATATATGATTTTTTTTATCACCACCAGCGCCAACCTAATCAGGAATCGAAGTGATCTATCCGACCATTTTTCTGATAAATAGATAGATAGGGAGAACCACCGCAACCATTATTCGCTTAATACAGCTGGAATTGCTTTGGATTATTTACTTTCTATAATATAAAAAAAAATAGATTAGATAGACTAAGAAAACCATTCAATCCTTATCATAACTAAAGCAATCGATATTTTGCATTGACTTACAATTTTATATATATGGACGTCGGGTCCGCGCTAAAAAGTGTCCGCACTTGTAAGGCGCTAAAATCGTATACAGAGCGCCAAACTCCGCTTTAGTCTTCATTTGTTCTACTGACAGCGCGATACTGCGATGACATTGCAATTTAAATTTCGAATAGGTTGACTTGGGACATTTTTTTCGTGGTTTTTGTATTAGACCCGTCGTCCATTTATTTGTAAGTCAATGATATTTGGAGTTAAATTGAGTAATCAGCGCATCGGGTATTAGCTAAACAAGATCTACAAGCTTCTCAAATCGATTTTGCAATATCACATTTAGTTTTACTGTCAAATAAAATCAAGTCAATTAAGGTGATATCTCGGAGCTATGAAATGCAAATGCATTACTTATGACAAGGAGAGCAGCACAGACATGCCAGCTTAGGCAAAGTGTGAGGACTATTTTACTCCTTATATCATTCATTCGCTCATTAATTCCTCAGGTGACCTGAAGATTGGCAGCGAAGTGAAAATGGGGCTTATGTCAATGTTGACGTTTAAATGTTCCCTTTGTTCACAAACGTTTGTTGTGGAATGTGACAGTGACAACAGTAGCATCGCTTCAAAACTCTTGACTTTACAAATGTCTTAGAGAATGGAAAAAATGTAGACGAATTTCTGTGTTTGAATTTACAATTGACGTGAAAATAGATAGAAAAGAAGGACAGGAAGACCATAGAATACAAACAAACAAGAGGAGCTGTCTACGGATAGTGTGAAATGGAGGAGGCTGCATCGTCAAGACTATCACTCTTAAATAGTATAATAAGAAATTTCAGTCAGTTTCTAATATCACTGATTTCAAGTTTAGAAAATAAGAGGCTAGCTAAAAATTTCGTACCGTTTTTGCCACTTGCTAACTTTGAATAAAAAAACGGACGTTTTTCTTTTAAAATTTTGTATTGTCTATGGTCATTTAAACAATATTATTACAGCGCGCATTTTAAAAATAGGCGGGGCAGCATAGAAATGCGCCAAGATGCTCCGAGGTTAGTCTGGCGTTTAAGTATGTACCTTACTTCATTTGATATAGCATAAAATATACATTGATATATATATAATGTTCTCAGTATACGGGTGTGTTTCATCGCAATAAGTCGGTCAGAAAAAGCTTTGTACACATGTAATAAGAGCTAAAAAGACGTTGTAAAATTCGCGTCAGCGATCCGAGACTCAACTGACCCGTTCAAGCCGATTCCGTATATTTGGTGGCTCCTTTAGTCGATTTTGAGAATAAACATATTTTCGATTGTCTTTTGAATTCATCGCTCTGTTAAAAAAAGAAATCATTTTTTTTTAATTTACGCAATAATTGGGCACGGTTTGATAACTTCTCAGCCTATTTATAAGTTGTATTGTGTTCTTTAAAAAGAAACAGTAATTATGGTCATGTTTAGTTGTATTTTTAATAAGTAACAATGTGATAAAAGTAGTTGATAAGTAAGTCATTTAAATTGTAAGAAATATTAATGTAAGTAACTGTAAGAATGGACTAGTGCATATTGTGTCGTCGATTTTTAAAGATGAAGACGACCGATTGTCAACAAAAGATTGTTTTTGATTAAAAGCTAGCATGTATAACGATTGTTTTAATGATTATGAGATGAACAAGTCGTGCGTGCCATAACAGTTGCAGTCACTGCGCCAGTAACCCTGAGGCAAAGTTGACAAGTCCCGTGTGATGGAGATCTTCATAGCAGACTGTGGGTCCTATTCCAGAACTCTACTCAATGCTCAAGTCAGGATTTGAGTATGGTTTAAAGCACTTGAAATCATACTCAAGTCCCTGCCATTAGGGTCGTATTTCCAGTGCTTGTGTTTCCAGTGCAATCCTGACTTGAGCATTGAGTAGAGTTCTAGAATACGACCCTTAGAAATGAGACTCCAGTGACTACAGAGTAAATCATATTACAATAATTACGAATAGCACGATTGAACAGTTAGAAAAAATTCCTTCAATCCGGCTGGATTCGAACCAACGTCTACTAGCAAACCGTGGCAGACGCTATGCCAACTAAACCACGAGACGAACCGGCGGACCTTACGGATTTTTACACAAAGTGCGCTACTACTAGACTGCTAGAGTGAGTTAAAAAACCAAAAATAAAGATACTCGATACGAGGTGGTAGGTAACATAAATTAAGTTCATTATGGATATAATCTGCAACAAGCACAGAAAAGTTCCTAAAAAAAGTTTACTATGAAAATTATAGACTAGGATGATTCCTGTGACAAGTGTCATTTGACGTTTGCCATAGGGATGAGGTAAAGTCGATATATTTTAGTTAGTGTATTTGATTTTTGAAGCACAAGTTCTCTCTTACTTCTGAACAATGTGTAGATGTGTGAAGTGTTTTGTATTATATTGAAGGCATAAAACATATAACTATAATTATAAATACAAAAATAGAAAATATTCCTACGATCCGGCCGGATTCGAACCGACGTCTCCTAGCAAACCGTGCCAGATTGATTTTTTTCTAAGCATTCGATCTTTATCTAAAAATAATTGAATATCAATTCACTTAACATTTAATCACGTAACTATAATTCAAATGCAAATGAAACAAATTTTAAGAAATTCCAAAAAAAAACATTTATCATATTAATTTATATAGGTTTCAAAAAGTAATAAAACTGACTAATTAAAATTCATTCTTTAAGAATAAATATCCGCATTCATTATTATTGAAAACTTCTTGTCTATATATCTCATCTCTAGCAAATGCAATGTAATGATGTAACCTTTGCACGCTGTCGTAAAAAAATAATGAATTATTGAAAAAAAATTTTTCTGCTCATTTCTCGCAAATTAACATTGATTTGGTATCATTTTTACTTGAATTGAATGTAGGTCCTATTTACTTAAACAAAGGCTATTATAAAATACCTACGTAAATTAGTGCACGTCGTTACAATGTTATATTGTGTAGATTTTCATGAATTGTCACAGGAATCATCCTAGATTGTTTTTAGTATACTATGTACAGTAGGCTACTCTTAAGTATTTATTCTACGCAGACTAAGCTGCGAGGACAGACAAGCAGAGATTAATTGATGTCAGGCTTTGAAGTGTAATTTGTTTACTTATTAAATGAAGATTTAAGTTTTGGGTTTGCATCGAAAACCTTGTAACAGGAAGCGAACACTTTATTTTCTAGTAAAGTCATCCATGTTACCTATGTTTGTTGTATAATTAAAACTTTTATATACGTCATTTACATTTGAGAGCTGTGGCATTAAAACTTTACAGTAATATATCGAAACAAGGCAAATATAAAATGCGTAATTAACGAACTTGTCGGGGGAATTTATACTGTTATAAACCGGGGCGAGGAAGGCACAGGCAACAACACAGAGCAAGTGTGAGATATACATGCGCGGTTTATTATGGATACAACCTTAGAATAATAACGCATAGAATGATAGTTTCATATCAAACGAACTGTCACAAGTGAGGCAAAAATCTAATTCATGTAGGCTAGTTTTAGTAGTAGGTTAATTTTTGGTTTTAGTGAATATTTATATAAAAATACAATTGAAACGCGTTACTTCCTTGTGGAATGTGATGTTAGTATCTATTTTATGTTTGTCTGACGTATTTTTACACTCATTTACCGCACATTTCGCCATTTTTAGCTAAAATTGTGGAGGTGTTCGCGGTGCAAGTTGACCTTGAGCACTGAAGGCCCGCCCGCTCGTGTAGGCCCTTTGGGAGCGCTTCAATTTGCCTCACTTAGCGTGTGCGGGCTAGGTTTCTATGCGTTATTATTCTAAGGATACAACTTATAAAGGCAGCGTTACAAAATATGCTTGTGTTATTTATTTTATTAATTTTATGCAGAAGGAGCCTGAACGCCTGAATCTGTCAATTACTTAAAGTCTGGACAGTATTTTGTTCCTTAAATTTTATTTAAAAAATAAATAAAAGAATAGTTAACTGTAATTTTTTTTCATTCATTTATTTTAAATTCCTTCTACAGGTTTGTCGAGTGGTACGAGGTTGATTTTGTTATGTAAGTTGATTTCTATGTTCTAGTAAATTTCGTAAAGTTTAATTAAAAAAGTTTTTAAATTAATAAATGGACATTGCTCGGGTACATTACCTAGTCCTGGAGCAAAGATAGTAATCTACGACGGAACGAGCACGTTCCGAAGACTTATTTTAGAGCTACGACTGTTCTACAAGTGGAAGCTCACCCAGAAGCAAGTTAGGTGGTGTCACAGAGACCCTAAAATAATCTACAGTACAAAATGCCATGTTTAACAACAATACTTCCTGTGAACACTTTGATAGCGCGTTCTATTTTGATCCCAACGTCACCTTTTTTTATAATAAATAACTGCGTATTTGGCCTCCATCTCACCTGATGGAAAGTGACGATGTGGTCGATGATGTAGCATGCACACCTAAATAATGCCACTCTCAAGTTATAGCGTCTTGACACGCTTGTCGATTGAATCCTAATAATATAAAGGTAATTTCTTGAAGCTTATTCACAGGGAATCGACAGTGAACCACTCAATTGACAAGCAATTGATTTCCACAACACCATCGCTACATCGAATTACATCATTCTTGCTTATGAGTAATAAACAATAGCATTTTAACTCTCTTAGTCGTCGAAAAGAAAACATTGTGTTAATTTCTGATGTAAGTAA